TGTATATATATGCAATATATTTTACTAAATGCACAAAGCGATGTATTAATCTAGAAAATACGAGAATATACGATACATATGTATACGTATACAGGGTGGGCCATTTTAATCGGTACACGGTAATATCTCCTCAGGTAGGGGTGATAGCGGAAAATGCCTCAAACAAAAGTTGCTTGGTTCGAAGGGGGACATAAGGTGGTGCCATTGACTTGACCTTAGATAGTCATTTGAAGGTCACGTGAAGGTCACCTTTAATTTTTTAAATGGAACCCCCTATTATTTATTACACTATCTTATTCTACTAATTAATATGAACAACTTTTGTCTGAAACATTTATTGATTTGCCTAATACTTTTTGAGATATTCAAGAGAAAATTTATAACTTTTTCAATGTTTAGCTTATGATATCTGTTTGTCGCAGGGTAAAGTAGTACAGGACTTTTTTTTTACTTGATTTGGTCTCAGAAATATGCTGTTGCAATAGTGCTCCAATTATTACAAATTTTTGTGCATATAAATTTTTTGTGTTACAATACACTAAAATTTTTTGTAAAATTTCCAAAAGCTCTCATAAAATTCTTCGAAATGCCATGTGGTCCCACGATTACATGATTTTCAGGGTAAATTTTAAATGAAAATTCTCTCCGTGTATATATCGTATGTAATATTTATATTTTTTTCAAATATATTTTAAAAAAATATATATACTTTTATATACAGGATGTTGAAAAAAGGGTAAAATATTTTAAGGGATTGAGTAAAAACAAGTCAAAAAATTTTAATAAGCGTGGATCGGATGAGTCGTTTTAGAAATATTTGTTTTTAATTTTGTATATTATTATTTTATTTTTATTTTGTGTTTTAAACAAATCAACTTGTTGCTATGATTACGGGAGCCATTGCTTCATGAAGAAGTATTGGCGCGAAATTGGTAAATTAAGTTTGTCATATTATTGCAAATAACTCAAAATCGGCTCACTTGCAGACTCATGTTTATTAAGACTGTTTAACTTTTTTTTTGCAGCATACTAAATCCCCTTAAAATATTGTTTCAACACCTTGTTATATTTATTATAATACTTGTAATAATGTCATCTTCAATAGCACGAAATGTATCTTTCGTAGCAATACAAAACCTATAATCTTATCATTGTAGCATTGTCAGTATAATCATTATAATATTATCATTATAACTACATCAATGAATTATATGTAAAATAAATGGATAATAATGAAGCTCAAACTGTCCACAAGCTCGTGTTGCGAAGTAGATAAAAATTAACTTTTTCCATAATAAATCTTATAATTCTGATAAAACATCGATGTAGTTCAAATAACAATTTTATAATACGTATACTGATAGTGAAAATAGTATGTCTGTTGATTTCATTTAAGAAATTAAACGTCCATCAAAATCTCTACGTTTGTCATTTCTGTGAAAAGGAAAATCGAACATTTAAATTTTACGCAATTAATCCGCAGCTATTCATCGTAAAACATGCTCGAAAATGCATTTCCGCGCATTTCCAGCTGCGACTATACAAGTACGCCATTTTAAATGTTTATATGCCAATGATTTATGCGATCTTAACGCCAGGTTACGGCTTTTTCTGTTTATCGTCCGCGATATGCGCATTTCAATCGGTTTTCCCCATTGCACACTGCTGTTTTATGCCCCGTCATACTATTCGGGGCCAATCGAACATTTGTATAGCAGGAACACAAGAGAGGATATATTAAAAGTTGCTGGTTTTAAAACGTTCTAGCTTCGATATTTTCAAATGCGGGATATTATAGTGAAAGCACAAGTGAGCATAATAACATTAACAATATTACTGTAAGTATACTCATATTATATCGGACGGAAAAAATTTTTTTAACGCTGAGTAATAATAAAATAATTTCTAATTAGGTTAATGGAAAAATATATGTGTATGTGAGTATACGACTTTCACAGTCAAATTCATTAAATGACGGCATGCTATAGAAATTCCTAGTATTTTAATTTCCCGAAGTGTAGCCAAATCCGTACACACAATGTTTCAATCAGCTTATATAATAAAAAGAACAGCATTGCAGACTAACTGCGTTTATAAAAAATAACTGCGATTAATTAGTTCTCATAACGTTGCATTCGCCGAAAGAATGTTTAATTTTGTTTTAAATACCTATGAGATTTTTATAGTGCTCCAATTATGGCATCGATTTTAGCACGTATTAAAGATAGAAAAGGATCGCGCATCGCGCAAATCAGTACAAGCGATGCAACGAAGAACGTTACAAATACAGCTGACAGGCAATCTATCATTCTCAAGGTCGGCTAATGTGTATAGTGCATCGTGTACAATTCCCTGTAATGCAATTACCGCTGCGATAAATTACAATCACGTAGAAGTATCAACGTCACGCCCCGCGATCTACTCAATTGCGACGCGATCGAAGTCGTCTAAGAGCGTCTAAAGCTATCAACAGATGATACCTACATATAGGTGTCTTTCACAAATTGCTTTAGGTGATAAAGGACCTGCCATTAACGAAGAATATTTTTAGTAACACATTAGCAAATTTCTTTTTTGTTTCCAATTTTTTATCTCGGCGATTAAATTTCAAATTAGTACTAATGCAAAATTCAGTCGTGAAAATAAACGTTCACGGTATACTTTATATAGGTACGTAATACTACATTTTCTTGAAATCTTTGATTTCTAGATGCCAGACATTTTTATTATTAGACGTTTTTAAATGAACTGGAATCAATCGTGAATTTGATAAGGAATGGATATTGTTAAAGTAATTGTCAATAATGTCAAGCTGAACGGACCTTTTTATTTCGCTTGAAAAATGTTTGTCACCGGTGTCACGAAGAGATTAAGTTATAAATATAAAAGCTTCGTCGAGAACAAAATCCTTCACGTCCAACGCACAAACCCCGGCATATTTAGTTCGTTTTTTTTTCTGCGACACAAAATCGACTATCTTGCGCGACTCAAAACTGTCATGGTAATGTACAATTAAAATGGCAACAAATTACGAACCCACGTAACTCACTTACAGTGTAAACCGCACGTTTTAACTTATTAATTAAAATCACGCATGCGTCGCCCCGTTCGAGCAATTTCGCAACAATTTCCAACGATATTTACGCTTTGTGCAAAAATGCAATTAAGAAACGGAGTTCCTTCATTAAAACTACGTAAAACTTGTTTGGATTTTTTCGGAACAAGTTGCACCAGAGAAATAAAAAGTATATAAATGTCAAATTAACAAGACTTGATGAAAAACAAAGAAAGTTCTTTCCAATCCGGAAGTAGACATTTCTTACACCTGTTTCTACACAACTTAAAGTGTTACATAAATTGCTTCTTCGATGAATATGAAACATTTAACCCTCATCGCATCAGACTTTCGAAATATTATTTCCAAAGTAAGGCCTTTCCTCATATTTTACATAAGCCCGAAGACTTAGTTAAACAAAAAAAAATATTTGAGTTCTCGACGTAAAAGATATAAATTGATTTTTTATATTGAGGTCTCTCAAGGCCCCACGCGCCGATTCGCGTTACGAAAACTAGCACGATGATCGAAAGGTTAAACAAATTGCTTTCCGTCTGGGCTCTAATGGTAAATACAAATCCAAACACAAATATAAATTTCTCTCTGTAAAAACGTAATGTAGTGGTAGACTGCCGTGGCACGTGTCGCATTTTTCCAGTTTCCTACAACCGAGAAACGTGGGAGGAATAAACAAGCGGGCACGATACTACCGTTGGCAAGTAAAATGTCAACAATTGAGATTACTTCCCCATAATCCCGACCGATCAATGCCAACAATTTTGCAGTGGTAAATAAATCATATCGCGTCTATTAAAATAGCTACATGCCCTTTCCGTGATAATATCAAAAAATTTCGTGATTTTATATACTTAGCTCTCATACAGTTGTCCGCGCTAAAAATAAATGCAGTCTTCCAATAAGTAACACCGCTCGTTTTCTTTGTATTTCAGAAAAATCGATACAAGTTCGGATCACATATTTGATGTCGCATTCGACGATAAAAGGTAACATGTTATTAGAATATTGGTTATAATTCTCAAAATATAAATGGCAATTTGTTCGCATTATATTTTGCTTTTATGTGCCTAATAAAAAATAAGTGTCAAAAAATGCCATTATATGTTATATGCATTTGCTATGTGCCCGCAATTATATTTTTCATATAATTTTCTTTACTTTCAAACGAGATAAAAAGATATAAACTACACGACTTTCAACTCGTGTTTAAATTTGTTATTTAGAATCTTCATTTAGCAGATTAAAATTGTGATAAAAATATCTCGGAAATAATTATCGTAATTAACAAAAACCGCGAGCTATCTAACTTTAAATAATGCCATTAAAAATGCATCGTGATAACTAATAACTGGTAGTTTGCAATATGTAGTTTTAATATCATTAATATACCTCTAACAAACATTTAATGTAAATCAAAATGACTGGAAAATTGAATAATTAAAGTCGTAAGAATCCTTGAGCCGATTATTCTGGATGTATTGGTAGCTCCCACTCGGTGGGAAAAGGAAAAGTATTATTGGATCTTCAAGGTCTGTAAGAGATAATTCGCTTAAGAAAGTCTGCAAGGATAATATCTGAAATTTACACAGTGACAAAGAAACGAACTTTCTTGAAGTAATGTTATCTGTCGCCAACGAAAATATATTCTGTAAGATAACCAAAAAAATCGTAAAAAAAATATTAAGTAGTGATGTCAAATTACATCTACGTAAGCATATTTATGTTATCAGGAATTTCTGTCCATAATTTATCATTAGGATATAACATTTCACCCATATATCAATATATGGATATACATAACTAAATATTAAAAGCAAGTTGTTTCATTGTGCTTCTTAAAATGTATTAAATATTGTTATACTATATTTCTGACTACAGAAACGTTATATTACTCACAGTTACAATAGTTTCCTTTAAGATCTCTCGAACTTCAACCGAATTCAACTATCATTTCCACCAAACCAACTTTTGATAGCACAGAAAGGAAGCCAAAGCAAATACGTATCTATTTTAAGCAAACTGGAAAAAGGTATTTAGTTCAATCCAAAGCAACTTTCGATTCTCTGTTTCAAGTCAAAATATTTTATTTCCAACAGTAGCGTAAAACTTTCGTTTCGAGTGAAAGCGTAATTGTTCATTTCCCTAAACTCCATGCCTCAGATATTTTTTATTACACATTTTTGGACGTACGTTATATTTTATCACGCTTTTAAAATGCTTCTATTATTTAACTATTCAGGCGTATGACTTGTTCGTTTATATTTTTTTTTCCTTTGAAGCGCGTTTCTGTTTTTCAGTTGTGTGTCATTGCTATCGAAATGCATGCGAAAAAGCAATCTAAAACGCGATGAAATAAACATCTTTTCGTTTTCATTCGGGGTTATTCTATAATATTAACAGAGTCAATCCTATAAATATATACACTTATATTAATTTGTATTAAAAATGTCTTATTCTAAAATTTTTAAGTATAACAATATTTTATATGATTTACAATCTTTTTTTAAAGATAACATAAATTCTGCTAACGTTTATAATTTTATTAAATTATATTAAGGGATAGTAATTCTACAATAATGCGAGAGAAAAGAGCATAAAAAAACTCCGACTAAAAATATCTAATAGAATCTTCGTAAAATACAGCCAGTGCGTCGTAAATCTTGCTTTAACGCGTCGCTACAGCAAGCATCTTTCAAACACTTCTACGATAAGTACAACCACAACGGGTAAAGTTTGATTAATACGCACGGCTTCAGACCTCGCGTTTAATTTAAAAACAAGGTTTCCGTCGAAGTAACGGGATGAACCGTAGTGAATTCTGTTGTGGAGTTTAATTAAAAAGCGTCGCCGATACTAGGAGCATTCTAAGGTATATTTGCATTAATTAGCGCCTCGCTTCGTTAGAGAGCCAGTGACGCTTAATGATACCGTAAGTGCACCGTAAGATATTGATCGCACGTGCAATTATACGCACTAAGGTATCGACAGCTGATGTTAATCCTACCATTTCCGCTTCGACAATTATACACTTATATATACTTTAAGCACAAATTTTAACTTGAAATTAAAATAAAGTTAAATTCTTTTAATTCGTTTTTTTTGTTTCAACATTTTCTATTTTGTGTGCCTCGCGTTCTATTCTTGAGAAAGCTTCACGATGAACCAGTATAGAAGCAAGTAAGGATTTTGCGATCAATAACTAAAAGGACTTTACTTTGCTTTACCATTATCAAGCATGCACACGATGTGTAGCAGAAATTCAACTTACAATTAGAGAGACTGTAATCTTGGTTGCTATTCTCGAATGCGTTTTGATACAAACGCGGGATCATGAGGGCACTTGAGATAAGGGTCTTGATTAACTATTATCAACTAACCGGAATAGCCGTATAATCGTTATTCAATTCATCGTTGTTAATTCGTACAAAAGTCGTTAAATATCGTAGCGGCCCTAATTATGCAAAGCAAATGCAGACGAATAATCCCACGAGCACGAATCATTTATTTTAATTACTTGTTGCTTTTGAACAATTATTCAAATAAATTGGCCGATGATCAGCAAAGCCATTGTTAATTGCTGTCGCGCATTAAATAATGGAGAGAACGATAACGCATATGTGCGTACGCTTTGTTACATTATCTCGTGAAAAAGATCCGGAATCAAATGCAAATGTATCTTGATGTAGCAGTACAGCCGATCGCGTTTAAATGAGCATATGTACACAGTGTGCGCGAACGCATTGCACATTTGACGATATGCCATTGTAACAAAATGAATGCAGTTGATATCGAACGGTACGCAGGTCAACAGACAAAATCCCAGTGAAATTGATAGCTCGCTTGATAAATGATAAATGGAATAAAGCGGATCGGACCTACGCCAATCCGTATTGTAATCACTAGTGACTGCCCCGAGCCAGAAGCGACTTCGCCGTAAGATGAATTAACCGATAAATTGTCTCGAACAGGTGCAAAGACTCGACGCTGAGACAACAGAGTAGGATATAATGAATCTCTGCCGAAAGCTTGGTATAGATTATGGGATTGCAATACCTCTGTGAAGAATATCGTCTTCCTGTACATTCTCAATGTATCCTATGCCTAATCTACTTTAGATTGTTGTACTTCACAAAAGTGTGCATAAATTGTTTAACACTTTAGCTACTACGCGCCACTATGGTTTCCCACTAACCGAATCCTTAGAACGCCACTTACTTCCCTCTAAACACAATCTCTTGAGGCGAAACACCGCAATGGTGGCTCCTTTTACGCCTCGATACCCCGTCGATATCATGAATGCCCTCAATTATCTTGACCTGCATTTGTTTTATCGAAAGAAAGTTCGCGTGTTTAATCGCATTCCGCAACCGAGGTGTGTGATTTGAAGGTGCAGCTCCGCATCATAAATAGAGGATCGATTCTCATTAAACATTAGTCGGATACGAAAACAAGACGCTGTCTTTTCGTTTGTGAATGTTTAAGCCACAAATCCACTGGATAAATTTGTATTTACAACAAATTTTATGCGTCATCGCAACCCTTTCTAAATTTTCATGAAATAAAGAGGAAAATTATATTAATACTCCGCAAGAAATACCTGGATCTAATACTTCAAATTTATCTCTTTTTTTAACATAAAATATTTTCTGATTCGCAGAGTCTACAAGAAACCTTCGCCAAATAACAAGTTGACACTTTACCTAACCAGCAGAGAGATCATCGTTAGTGAAGCCAAGAATGACAACAAACTCCTAGGTGTCTTCGTAGTTGATCCCGACTATGTGCATGAAAAGAAGGTAAAACGAAGCCAGACAAATTGCAAATATTTATTTTTTCACTGTTAGAACGTTTACCGGAAAGCCATAATCACGTGTAAAAAAAATGCAAATCTAGTAAACCCCTTTAATTCCTTTTTCAAAACTGTATAACATTTACAAGAAACGTCGTTAAAAAAAACTATGTGCTGGAACTAAGTCCATCGAATCTTGAAACGTCAAGTTCAGTGACCGAAATAAGCTCTTCGAACCCATAAAGAATCTTGCTTAGTTATAATGTTAAATCTACTGGAAAGTTTCTCCATGACGTATCGTTCGATCGGGGATAATTAAAGTTGAATTGTAAGCGCAATTCCAATCCTCAGAATATAAGAAAAAAAAATATTAGCTATACTTGTGTCAAATTGGCATGCTTGCTTATTTTCGATGAGCTAATATACAGAGTGTATCAGACCACCCGTACCATACTTTTATTTTGAAAAATACGTATTTTCGAAAAACACTGTTATATAATATCTCGCTTGAAACCCTACAATTTTGTATAAAACGTATTTTTCGAAAATGTGCATTTTTCAAGGTAAAAAGGTGACACGGGTGGTCTAATACACACAGTATTTCGGAATATAACTAATACATTCAAACCTGCACACACATTATATACACAAATGTGTTTTAATATTAATGTAATTTCTTTGCAACAATGCAAGTCTCGGAATGTAAAGAAAGAATTTTTGTAGAATAATTTAACAACTAAATTTTCAACTCGGTCCTTTCAAGAGCTAAATCAAATTACAATGTAAACGCCTTTAGTTTTTAAGGACCTGGCACTGGTCCTTAAACCTGATAATTCAAGTGGTCACCTCCATCCGTGCCAGGTCCTTAAAAAATAAAGGCGTTCACATTGTAATTTGAGAATAATTGAAGTTAAAAGTTGTAAAAGTCCACATCACATTTATGTACATTGTATCCTAAAAACAAACTGAATTATTTTTCTAGGTATTTGGTCAGATAATGCTGACTTTCCGTTACGGAAGAGAAGACGAAGAAGTAATGGGCCTAAAATTTTGCAACGAGGCGATGATGTGTCTGGCACAACTGTACCCGTCCTATGTGGGAGCTCATCATCTGGAAACTAAGACCCCATTGCAGGTTGGTATGCAAATTGTTGCAATAAAATGCACCACTGATCACATAATGATATCCGCGACATATCCTGCAAGAATTGCGCTTTCTCATTTCTTGTTAAATATTATTTTTAACGATCTCTTTTTTTATTTTGTCATTTCTTTTACTTCGCAATGTACTATTGTACATTGATCGAAGATCTCGTGCTTAAAGATGCAAGCGAATATCGGCGATAATTAAAGAAACTTAATTCATGAATCAGACGTGAGTTGCGACACTTTTCGTACGATCTCATTGTTAGTACAATCTATTCGTATACACGTGTTGAAACTCGCATCATCGTTACGAATACACATGTATTCATAGCATGTCTTAACTGCACGACGTGAAATATAGTCCAATATGCTTCAAGGATTTAGGTTGTAGTATAAGTGGAATTTATGCTTTCCTTGATTAAACTGTACCTATCGCTGTGCATAGAAACTGTGATTTGTGGAATTCCATAATTAGTCCAACCGTACAACGATATAATGATTAGGATATCAATATATCGTCGATTGTATACTCAATAGAGAAATAAGCATGAACGCTCAACTCACTACACGATTACGGAATTTCAAGCACTCTGCATTTCGCGATGCACTACGTCGTAATTTCGAAGCACTTCGAATAAGACATGGGATGCAATCAGGGGATGTCTTGGAACTAGTAGATATTGATAATCTCTCTAAACACCCCGCAAGAAGGATGAAGACAGTGAAGTGATAAATGAATTCCCGAACACACAAATCCCATTATATCTCCATCACACTTCATCACGCGAATAAAACCTCTTTAATAATTATTTCCGTGCATCCTAAAAGCAATTCGATTTGATTTTGTTAATTTGATTAAATTTACAAACTTTGAAGTGACACGAAAAACACACACACACATCCGTGACAATAAATAATTAGCAAAAAGCCATACATTTTGTGTCTATATCGTGAAAAATTTAACCTACCGAAATTATACCGGTTAAAATATTATATAAACCTAAAATATATCGATCATTAACAAGCGACTTAAAACATTCACATATTAAATATATCATTCACTGAAAAGAAAAATTTCGCTACCATAGCTAATCATGGTTTGCTTGAAATGTTTAGTAGCAAAATATTTAGCTATCACAACTAAATATTAGCTGTCCATATTTTACAACTGAAATTCAGTTGCCCCAAGCAGTTTTTAGCTACGGCAACTACATTTTTCTTTCCGTGTTCTACATATATTGGGAATGCTTTAACGCGAACCACGTTTCCGTATCCAGCACGCAAAGCCATTTTTGTGAACCGCCAATTAAAACCACCTTGTGACTTCAAAAGCTGTCTCACTTGTTTCTTCGTCGCGTCCGATTTTTATATGCACACAAATCATACACGTAACCAGCCCCGCGGGCGACATTCAGCGCTACGCGATCATAAAACTTTGAGCTCGGGTACAAAGACATTTTTTATTACGCCGTATTATCCTACAATACATTCTGATTCAACGCATAGGAAAATAATGTTATGCTTTTAAGTTAATTTTGTGACAGCGCGGCACACCGCGCAACAGGCGAACGTTGGAAAATTCGACGGAAAAGATGTATGAGGTAACAAAACGGAAAATAAAAGACATAAACATTAGGTGTACAAATAGACTTCTTTTGAAATCATATTAATTGATTCTTAATAGATATTTTTAAATCGCAAATGATAGAAATAAAATTTGCTTTCATTTAATGTTGTAATAATTCGTCTGATAAACAAATAAAGATTAAACTCAATACATATCAGAACTATCGAAAAACTAACGTTGTTAATAAACAATACCGCGTTAAACTTATATATCGATAAAATAAGATCGATAAAATACGCGATGTCGATATAGCAAATTGCCAAAGTGATTTCAACAATATTCTTGAAATTAGTTTTCGACAAGACGATTCATCGCGACGCATTAATCGTTAACGTCTGAAAGAATCTCGGCGACATAAAAAGGACGAGAAGGAACATGATTATAGAGTTTCTGATCTGTATCTGAATCCTATTTCCGAGCGGAACTATCCTAGTTAAGCATTCCGATTCCAACTAACCATCTCCGCGCCAACTAAGCATCTCATCGCAGACAATTAATATTAATACAGCATGAAAGAGATAGATAAGGCTTTCATGCGGTGTCTCTCAAAAGCGGCGCATCGAAATAATACGGTGCGACAAAATTGGCTCTTTGATTACTCTTCATCAATAAAGGACCTATCGCAAACATGTCACGTTTGTATCGACTCCACGGATACTTTGTGGCGATCTTGACGAGGGTAGATGTTGAATGAAATCGAAATTCTTTGTGAAACTGGAGAACCTATAACGTAAGCAATGAGCCAGAGAGCCATAAAAAGTTTTCTTCGCGAATTAACTACAAAGGATCAACCGGCGAAAAATCTCTTTCCAAATTTCATAGCACCAAAAAAAGGTGACATATAAAATTAGAAAAAAAATATCTCTATCGAATTTACGATACAATCAACGAAACCACAATTATTACAAGAAGATATTAAACTACAATTTATTAGATAATTTCCTTATTAACTATTACGGTCGCAAATATGTACAAATAATATTAATGTCGAAATAAAATCCGGTGATTATAATTTTAACTGTTAGATAAAACGATATTTCACTATAAACGTATTAATAATACGTCGACGTAATTAAAGTACCTTTTTAAAAGATCTAAGCTGATCTTGTTTCACATTAAAATAATTACTGACACTCCTTTATTACAGCACGCAATTAACAAACTAAAAACGATATTTGTACGCATGAAATATTCTTCGTAAAAATACGACCGAAATATTCAATAAGGGACGAATATACTATTGAAAAATCTCACAATTCGCAAATTATAAAATCGTCAAACATATGAATATGTATCTCTTTTTCAAATATTTTTTGTATAATTTCCATATTAATTTTCGATGCACCATGGAAATGATTTAACAAAAGCTTCAACGGATCACGTTATTATATGTTCATGATTACACAGCACCGTTGCACATTTACACGTAAAACCGTATGAAATGCAGACCCGAATGTACATTTGTGTGATGCAAAATAAATTCATTTAAAAGCTACCATTATCCGTTTGATGAAAAACCGAGAAACGCGGCGTAAAGAGTTTCGGTGAAACGAGGTATACGCAATCGTGTGAACTATCACTCAAGATATTGAAAATTTGGAAAATAAATATTTCACAATATTTCCATAAATGGGACGTGAGAAAATTGTCAGAGATGTGAGATGAACATTTCCAGAGACTTGAGAAGATTTCAAGTTATACGCAGTCTTGAAAAAAAAGCACAATATCACTAAAGTTGTCACCGGTACTTGTTGCCAGCCGTGCATTGCAAGAAAATACTTTAATAAATAAAAAACACACAAATATAATTTTCTTGTTAATATCGTATACATGTTACAATATTTATCGCACACTTACACATCGATACGTACTTTATTTTTGCTCTCAAATAAACTAAACATCGGCAAATCCTGTACCTAATTTCCATAATGGAATCAGAATATACAATATACAATACAATACCCTATATTGCCATTTGGTTAAACAACGTTCACGCATTTTTTTTTCTTACTATATTATATTCTTACAAATAAATATTCTCTTTCCAGTTTAGTTCAAGTAAAATTTATTTTTAGACACTTTGAAATGTGATTGCAAATATGTGAAAAATGTCAAAAATTGAAAAGTAATAAATGATATTGATGCTCTTACTTGATATTTTCGTCAAGGAAAACTTGACCTCAAATATAGCACAATAAATTTAATATATCCTTTAAGAAAGTTTACGGTTATTCACAAAATTGCCAAAAGCAATTCGAGACAAAATTGCGTATTATCGACGGCGATCGACAATGTCAAAAGAATATTACGACTGAATTTTCGTTAAGAGGCTCTCGAAGGAAAGTGGAAAAAGCTAAGGAAAATCTGACATCTTCGACGAGACTCGAGTACAAAATCATTCCCGCGACCGTGACCTCGACCTAACAACAGGTTCCGCAGGCTGTCGTGAAAATTATTTATCGCGCCCTTGCCTCTTCCTACGTGAGCATTCGACAATGAGCGCGATCTCAATTCCAGGATCGATCCGAAGACAAACGCGCGACGTACACAGAAAATGCCTCACCGCTTCGAGAGATGCATCGGGCGAATAAACGTGCGAAATATCGGAAATGTGTGCAAGTGTGTTCAGCCATCTAATGGAAAGCGCTATCTGTACGTAACACTGAGGTAATCAACGCGATGGAATTTTAAGGATTGATCGCGTCAGGCTTATCGAGAACGAAGCACCTCGCGAGATTGCACTCGAAAGCGCATAAAATTGCGCCGACGCGTATAAATGTTGCCAGTTATAGAATTTCAACGGGGAAAAAAAACTTTTCGGGTCACGTTAAACGTCAAAATGCCACGAGTTTCATGTGTACATCACCTCTGCACGACAGATGGTCAGTAAACCAAAGGAATAAATTGCAGTTAGCCGCGTTCTGGGACAGGAAAAAATATTCGCGAAAATACGGTCGGTATGTATCAATGTCTCGTTTTTCTCCTTTTTTATCATCGAGTGCGTTTCCCTGCTGGTCGAGCTCCGCGAGATCCAACAGGAAAAAGATACAAATTAAATACGGCAATAACAGAAATTAATAAATGCATTCCCGCGATAACCGCGGCGAGATAACAGTTCTCTAAATAAACGGCGAGATGTAAAATATTATTAATATTTATTTTATTTCTACATTTCACAAACGCTGTTATTTTCGCCCATGCTTAAAGCTGTCATAATTGTGATGAAATAATAAAAGTGCTAGGCCGTACAAAAACTAAAATCCGTGAGCATTTTAATAAAGCGGTGACTTTCACAGAACGATCGTGATCTATCGGGAAAGAACTTGTGGATATCTCTATGCGGTATAAAATCGGAACTTCTC